CCAACCTGAAGGGTTAGTACAGCAAATGTTATAAAGTAGATATGAACAGTTTGAAGGACTGGAACCAAGATTAACTGACAAACAACTTCCATCTAAATTATCATAAAAATGTTTAAGTAAAAAAAAAAAAAAGGGAGGGGAAGGGGGCAATGGGGGTTTCAGACTGAACAAGATCCTCACATTTCATCTAATACCTTCCATCCTGGCTAGAGTACACCAAGATGGAGACAGGATTACTATAATACAGAGCCGCCACTGCAGCACGCTGTACACACCTGTGTTCCAAGCCCACCCCCAGCCCCCACTGCTTCTAACTCAGCTATTTCCCGGCCTGTTGGGCCTGCCGACGAAGACTCTTTAATCCAGTCTTTGTTATAGGGCTGGTATGTCCGGGTATCAGCTCGGTAAACAAGGCAGCTGAGGTCTGCCCGATCGTCAATAAAATCAAACAATTGACTGATATCATATGTGATAGAGGGGCTGTTGGGATTCATTCTCTTCAGATGTTCTTCATACATTTTACAAACACCTTCCATGCATTCGTTCACAGATTCATAGTCAGCATAAGTTCTGCCTTCTGGCCTCTTGGTAGGCTGTACCAGCAAAGTGGTGTGAGACATCGCGCCAAACTCTCTTGCTGCAGCCGCTGCTGACACCGCCGCCCTGGACAACCTTATCTTTTTGACAACTTTAATTATTATAAATCTTTTGGACAACCTTAATTATTCCTCAGGGTAAAACTACTGGGATTTAAACTCCCAGATGGAAGGCTATAAGTGTTGTGTGTGTTGCGGGGGGGCGGAAGATAAGCTTCATAACCTAGTGGCCATTTGGTAAAGAATATTGATTTTTTATCCTAAAAACTGATGATGCACATGTAATTTTCCCAAATTCTATTCAACATGACGTGTTAACATTAAAACCTTTTTATCAAATAGAGAGTGAAATGGCATCTTTACTTTTCCTGGGTTTGATTGCTTGAGATAGTGAATGTATTTCTTTTCTTTCTTTGTTTTGACTTGTTTTGTTTCACGTGGATTGCAGTTACTGAGAGAGATGTGTTAAAAGATAGAATGTAATTATAGGTTTATTTAGGTACTTTAATGGTGTCGGCAATTCTTTTATGGATTTTTGTATCTATGTTAGTAGGTGCATACAAAGTTAGGATTATTATGTATTTCCCTTGTATTGACTCTTTTATCTTAGGAAGTATTCCTCTTCATATCTAATGCTATTTCTTGCCTTAAAATCTATTTACGTGATACTAATATATCCATATCACTTTTCTATTGCTGGTGTTTGCATGTTATATCTTTTTCTATTTTTTTGCTTTCAACTCATCTGTGCATATACTTAAAGTATTTCTCTTTATTTTATCTTTTAAAAGTGTTTCTCCTTAAAAAGCAGCGTACATTTAGGTCTTTTTAAAACATCCAGTCTAATAGTCTTTTAATTGACTTATTGAGCCCATTTACATTTCATGTAATTACTTATTTGTAGGTTGTAAGTTTATCATCTTGCTAATCCTTCTATCTGCACATCTATTTTATGTTTCCTCATTTCCAATTTTTTTTTTTAAGAGAGAGAGAGAGAGAGAGCGTGTGAGTGGGGTGGGGAGGGGCAGAGGGAGAGAAAGACCGAGAATTTTTTTTTTTTTAAAGATTTTATTTATTCATTTGAGACAGAGAGAGAGTACATGAGCAGGGGGAGAGGCAGAGGGAGAGGGAGAGGCAGGCTTCCCACTGAGTCAGGAGCCTGATGTGGGACTCGATCCCAGGACCCCGGGACCATGACCTGAGCAGAAGGCAGACGCTCAACCATTTGAGCCACCCAGGTGCTCCCGAAAGACAGAGAATCTTAAGCAGGCTCAGTGCAGAGCCTGATGCAGGGCTCAGTCTGACGACCCTGATATCATGGCCTGAGCCAAAATCAAGAGTCAAACACTTAACCAACTGAGCCACCCAGGTGCCCCTCCAATATCATTGTTTAAAAAAAGTTATTGTTATTTCTAATAGGTCATTTTAACTCCCCTATTTTTTTCCCATCTATTTGCTTTTTGTACAATTCTTTTAGTGATTACCCAATGGATAGAAACATTTATGCTGGACTTACTAATAACTGTGTTGAATTTTCCCACTTAAAACAAAAAAACTTTAGGGACACCTTGGTGGATCAGTTGGTTAAGCATCTGCCTTCAGCTCAGGTCATGATCCCAGGGTCCTCAGATTGGGTCCCGCATCAGGCTCCTTGATTGGTGGAGAGTCTGCTTCTCCCTCTGTCTGCTGCTCCCCCCTGCTTGTGCTGTCTCTCTCTCTCTCTCTCTGGCAAGTACATAAAAATAAAATCTTTACAAGAAAACTTTACACAGTGTAACTCTCCAGACTCAATTTGTTTTCAAATGCATGAACCATAGTCTTATTTTTTTTAAGTACACTCTACACCCAACGTGGGGCTTGAATTCACGACCCTGAGATCAAGAGGCACAGGCTCCACTGACTGAGCCAGCCAGGCATCCCTGTGAACCATTGGTCTTGCTCCTTCACTGTGCATGGACCTCAGAAAAATACCTCATCCACTACGGCCACTCAAAAATAGTCACTAACACTGACTCCTTCATTCAGTTCCAAAGCCCAGCATCTTTCCTATAGACCAGAGAATCTCCAGCAGTCTCTGCACCAACCTGTTTCCATCTCCTCAGTGGAATCATTTGGATCCAGGAGTCTAGCACCTCTGGCTTTTCTAGGTGGGTTAGAATTTGAAGCCTGAATTCACTGTGTTCACATAAAGAGTTTGTGTAAATTATGACCTCATGGAGCATTTTATTCCTTCTTGTTTCCGGAATGTGGTTGAACACAAAACCCGAAGGTCACATGGGAGGAAGGAAGGGAAGTGTTGGCCAAAGATGCCACCACCCACATCCACCTTTCCTCCCTGTCGTGGATGAAACCAGAGAGGGACCCCTAGAGCAGGCTGCAGGGCCAGTATGATCCCTGAATTCCTCTGCCTCCTCTGCTTTGGTAAGTCTCTTGGGCCTGTCGACCGGAATTAGAGATAAAGGTAGGTGGAGAAAGATGTGACCATTAGAATTGGAAAGAGAAGTGGTAACATCTGCTTGTCTTTACTGATTGTTTCATGTGTGTCAGGAATCTTGGGGGAGGCTTTAGATACGTCTTACCCATCAAAGGTTCTCCAGTATGCAAATACATTTCATGTCCATAACTGTCCTGTATGCCTCTAGCATCCCTATTTATTTAAAATTTTATTGACTCAATATCTTTATTTTGTTTTATTTATTTTTTGTATCTTTATTTTTTATTTTTTTTAAGATTTTATTTATTTGTTTGACAGAGACATAGCAAGAGAGGGAACACAAGCAGAGGGAGCGGGAGAGGGAGAAGCAGGCTTCCCACCGAGCTGGGAGCTGGATGAGGGGCTTGATCCCAGGACCCTGGGATTGTGACCTGAGCTGAAGGCAGATGCTTAACCGACTAAGCCACCCAAGGCGCCCCTTAATATCTTTATTTTAAACAGGCACATTCATCTGAAGATGGAAATTTTATGCCAAGAGCTTAAATTAAAAAATAAAATTTAAAAGAAAAGCCAGGGTCACTTAGCAAAATATAGAAGGTTAATGTAAACATGTATACAATGCAAAGGAAGAAGACATTAGGACATTCTAGCCATGGGCTGTTGGCCATCACATTTCTGAGCCCATGGCCAGCTACTTATTTATTACAAATGGCAGTTGGCCAGAGACAGATGTATAAGAAGGTTGATCTCTAGCTTGAGAAATTCTTTGTTGTGATCAAAGGAGTGGACGTGATTTGAAAGGGTAATACTGTTTTGATCAATGCTATAGAATACCATGTCACTACATCCCCTGAAATCATCTGTAGAGCCCCTGCGGTTTGTATTCCATCCTGTGGGAAATACTGCTCTGACCCTTGCGAACAACCTGCGTGATGGAAATCAGACCCGTGTTGATAAATGAGGACCAGAGACTGACAGCTCAGGGTTCCTGCTCAGGGCCACACAGTGAGTGAGCAGAAACCTCAACATTCAAACCCAGGCCTGTCTGGCTCCAAAGTCACTGTTGTTTCTACTTGGTCATAATGGGATATTAAGAATGAGGCATGGGCTCTTCATAATGGGAAAGTCCTTGGGGTGAGTCAGCAAATGCCAGGTTGGGAAAATTATAACGACATGAAAGCAGAGTGCTTCAAAATGTGCAGAGGCATAGAGCTGGGGACAACTCAGGATGTCTGTTGGCTGGTGCTAAGAAAGCCTTCTTTGCACAAATAGGGACAGTGTGGGTCTTAGCTCGATTGGGTCCCAGCGATGTGATTGGTCTTACACAATAGTCTCTGATCCCTAGATTCTAAGGTAATCCATGGGGCTTTCATTGCCTTCAGGCTGGTCTATCTGGTGAAATGAGGAAAGGACGGTATTATAAGTTTGAATCTTTCTACCATCCTTGAAAAATCTGAGCCATGCTTAACTTGGGGCATCTCTTCTGTTGGCCAAGGTGCTTCTTACTATGTTCCAGGATTGTGTAGACACTGGGGATGCTAAGGAGAACAGAATAGAGTAGCTACATTCCAGGTGTTGACAGGACAGTAATGCCTTGTGTCTTCCATGGCATGAGTACACAAACACTCTTAAGGATTAAGGGGCTTGTGGACATTGGGGAACCAGGACAGGTCCTGGGGCTGTGGGAGGAGCGCGCCGCACAGGAGACCTTCTGGGAGAGTGGGGAAGGAGCCGAGAACACAGCTGCAGCCACAGTCCAGTGTGGGGAAATGAGAAGCCCCAGATGCATGACCTCCGGGGTCCATGCTCAGCAGCAGACCCCGGGGAGGCCCCTCAGGACGGGGCTCCAGGTGGATGCTCATGTCACGTGGACGGTTCTCTCGCAGGGCTGTGTGCCGGCCAAGGAGGCAGGACAACTGATGGTGAGTTCCTTCAGTCGGACCCTCCCTCCCCTTCACTCCAAAGTCCCCATGTCCCTTCTCTTTCCTTCAAGGGGTTTCCTGACAGCAGACGAGGGCACCAAATCCCAAATCTGCTTCCTTCCAGAGTCCCTTCCCAAGCCCTCCCTCAGGGCCTGGCCCAGCTCGGTGGTGCCTCCCAAGAGTAATGTGACACTGCAGTGCCAAACGTCTACCAAGAATGTCAACTTTGTTCTCAGGAAGGGAAAAGTTATATTGCAGTCCGTGCAATCACAGGCTTCCACAGAGGGCCTGGCTGAATTTCACCTCACTGACCTAAAAACCGACAATGCTGGAGAGTACACCTGTGAGTACTACAGACTAGGGAGCCCGTACGTAAGTTCGCAGCCCAGTGATGTCCTCCTACTGCTGGTGACAGGTGAGGAGGCGCCTCGGAGGGACACGGGGTCTTGCAGGGACAGGTGTGGGGGAGGAACCCGAGGGAGGGAGGGAGGGAATGAAGGGAGATGGAGAAACACAGAACAGAATGACCTGGCTCAGCTTCATCCAGGGCTTGCTGGGGAAATCTTCCCACAGTCAGAGTGGAAAGAGGGTGAGACCAGGGATCTGTCATTTTCACCCACTTGGTGGGAACCCCTGCCAGGAGAACAAGGGAGGGTGGGGGACCCCGGGCTTCTCCCCATGACCTTGGAGCCCTCCTCTTCCAGGAGATTTAATAAAACCTTCCCTCCAAGCCCACCCAAGGGGGGAGGTGACCGCAGGAGACACTGTGACCCTGCAGTGCCAGAGGCCAGACAATATTTTCGTGCCTGTAATGTTCGCTCTACTGAAGGCGGGGGCAGCAGAGCCCATACGGGTCCAGAGTCCTGCAGGGAAGGAGACGGACTTCTCCCTCCGGACTGTGACAGTCAGTGATGCCGGGAACTACAGCTGTGTGTACTTTCTGATGAGGGCTCCCTTCCTGACCTCACAGCCTAGTGATCGTCTTGAGATCCGGGTGACAGGTGAAGTTTTGCATGATTCTTAGGACGTTTTAAAAATTTAATTAATTTATTAATTAGTTTGTTTTTATTTTGGCTACTTATTTTCTTTCTCCTGTTTTGTTGACCTATAACTGACTTATAACACCATATTAGTTTAAGGTGTGAGTCTTTTTTTTTTTTTTTTTAACTGGAGAGCATTTCTTGTTACTTTCTGATTCCTGTTTCTCCTTCACTTTCCCGAGCATCTCCTTTTTAAATCTCTCCTTCCCTAGTTTCTAGTCTTTGGCGTTTGTTGCTTTGCATTCTTGGAGAATGTCTCAGGCTGTTCTTCCAAACAATCCATCCCGCCACCACCAGAGCCCCTTCTGCCACCCTGGGCGTCACTTAGAGTTGTGGGACATCCTGCTGATGGCAACTTCATGGCGGTACCTTTCTCACTCTTAGAACACGGTGCTCCCCCAGACGCCCACTTTTCTGGCATAGATGTGGTATCTTCTAAACTGATCTTCTTGTTTCATTGGATGCTACACCCTGCTTCCTCGGAGGTGTAAATGTTTGCGTGTGTGCTGTGGTCAGCGAACGTTCTGTAGTTGGAAAGCAAGGTCCGGGCGGGCAGTGCTGAGGGATGCAGAGGGCATCCTGGGCTTGGTGGGGTCATCACGGGTCTCTCCCCATGGACTCCGTCTCCAGGGAGCATTGTTGCTGATGTCTTCAGACATGAACTCTGCACTCATGGCACATGTGAGCTGGAAGATTCAAGTGCAGGTTCTGTCTAGGAGCCAGGGCCAATGGTGAGCCCTGACTCTTCTTGGGTGAAGCTGAAATGAAATGCATGGTGGTTCCGATGCTCAGCGACTAAGCTTGAATTTTCTTGAGCTCGCTGGCTGCACTAAGTCTTTGCTCTGAGGAGGGGAGCAGACGGAGCCCTGGACTACTTTCATTCTCCGTGCAGCACCTTTGGGTTTTGGGGTTACTCCTACGCCTGATTCCTACTACAAGGAAGGAGAAGGGGGAAAGGGCAGTGTGGGAAGGTGGAAATGAGATGAAGAGCGAAGAAATGAGGGAAGAGCAGTAAAAGGCAGAAAGAATAGAAAGGAGACAAAGGAAGACCCACCGCAACCCTCAGGAAATCCCACGTTGTGTTTTGAGTGATTACAACGTCAGCGAAGGTACAGCTGACCACTGGCCAGGAAGCACAGGCAGGTGCAGGAGAGTCACATTGGGCAGATCCGCGTGAGAAGGGCGGATGCTCCTTTCCAGCTGGTGCTCACCCTCTTCTCTCTCTCAGCTCCCCCAGGTGCCACGTCGGGGGATTACACCACGGGCAACCTCATCCGACTGGGTCTGGCTGCCATGATTGTGCTGATCATGGGGGCTCTCGTGGTGGAAGCCTGGTGCAGCCAGAAGGCGTCTCCACGTGGATCGACATGAAACAGCTGAGCGCCTCTCTTGTTCATGGGCTGGTGTAGTGACACGGGGATCTCTAAACACCAAACTCTACCATGGGACTTCTTGTGTTTCTCAACATGCGCACAGATGGCTTTTTGGTGGGATATTTCTTCACCATATGGGACTGTCCTGTTTACTGTGGGAACATTTAGCACTGTTCCTCTTTCCCATTAAAGAGCAGTTGAAGCCCCAGTCATTGTGGAAGAAGATAACAAGCAAGTACTACTGTACTTTTCCAACACCCCTAGATATGGAGGATGGGAGTGGGGTGGTGTTCCCCTGGTGGAGAGCCCGTGTTTGGAGGCCAGGAGAAATATTTCTTCTCTTCCTCCCTTTCCGATCTCACATCTGTCCTTCTAGACATAGGCTCCACAGCTGTCCAGGGGGAATGATGTGTCCTTGATCAAGTAAACAGCTTGTGTGAGATCTGGTTCTCCTCTACCCTGGGACAGAAGGTGCACATGAGGAGATTTGGGAAGCTTGAAGATGAGATGTGATCTCTCATTTCCTGACATTACCTAAGACTCAAAGTGGCCCCTGCATCTCCTGACAGTGTCATCTAGGATAGTGACAGGAGTGACCAGGAACTGTCCCCCATATTGAAGGCTTCTTGGTGCTCAGGATGACATAAATTAAGAGTTTCATATGGCTGTAAAATTATTTGTGTGTCAAAATCAAAATTAATAAAGTATATGGCACCAGCTCACTTTTACTGTTACTAGGATAGAGAAAAGTGGAATTTAACCACAAATTCCATACCAGTTAAGTGTGATACAGCATTCCACAGTGTTTTAATAAAAGTAAAAGCATCATGACATCCTGGTGTTCCATTACCTGAGAAATTTGAGAATAAATATCTTTTACTTAAGTGTGATCTTGGTTTCTGAAATCAAAAGCTAAGAACCAGTGGCCTTGAAAAGGATTTTCTGAACTGTGGGTTTATGTCTGAGCCATTGAAAGGCAACAAAACTGCTCTCATAAACCATCCCTTGCTCTCAGGACCAAGCCCCAAATCATCAACATGCTCCTTTAGGTCAAGAAAGATTTGGGTCCGCTTCCCTTGAGACTTCTGGTACACAAAAATTGAATCAATGCCAAAACCGTTTACAAAAATGGAAGCATAATTTGAAAGCTTATATCTAGCTCACACACAACTCAATCTAATTTTGCTACTCACAAGTTCATGATAGGTTTTATATGCGTGTATAGATTCTTAGAGCAACAGGGGCCTCTAGGTCCGGAAACTGGAAACCAGCAGTGAGATGTTCTCTTTTATTTAAGCCTGAAGATGCATCTTCCTGACTGTACTGATAGTCTCCCTTGGAGGCAAACTCAAAACTGAGGCTCCTTTTTTTGTTTGTTTTTTAAGGATTATTTATTTATTTATTTGTCAGAGAGAGAGGGGGCACAAGCAAGGCAGGGGCAGAGGGAGAAGCAGGCTCCCCGCTGAGCAAGGAGCCCAGTGTGGGACTCGATCCCGGGACCCTGGGATCATGACCTGAGCCACAGGCAGATGCTTAAGTGACTGAGCCACCCAGGCGTCCCTCGGAGGCCCTTTCTGAAAGTGAGGTCCAAAGACGCTGGTGACCACATCCCCATCTAAGCCTTGCTCACCATTGTCTGACATAGACCACTCACTACAGCCAGACCACACTCCTTTGTACTCCCTGCCACCTCCCCCTCATCTAGAGCATTCCACTTTTTTTAAATAAAGATTTTATTTATTTATTTATTTATTTATTTATTTATTTATTTATTTATTTGAGAGAGAGAGAAGGAGCAGAGGAAGAGGGAGAAGCAGACTCCCCTGCTGAGTAGGGACCCTGACACTGGGATTATGACCTGGGCCGAAGGCAGATGTTTAACCCACTAAGCGCCGAAGCGCCCAAACATTCGACATTTCAAAGCCTGATTGGAACCCAACATCGTCCGGGAAGTTCCCCGCCCCCCGCGCCCCCGTCTCTGGCCCTCGTGTGACCTCCAACAGCACTTAGAATTTCTCATTTTTGTTCCTGACGTTCTTCCTTGCAAGTTCATCTTCCTGCTTAAACTAAAGTGCGCAGGAGCTCACCGACTCTCCCCCAAGTCCAGCTAAGGTGTTCAGCATTCAGCAGGCGCTCAGTAAGTAATACGGACCCGGGTGTGATGCAAGCGAAGCACGGTGCTCTCCAACGCTGTAAAACGGAGCGGTCCCCAGCCCTACTGATTCGCAGAGGGGATGACCGACGAGTCGGGCCCGCCCCGGGGACTACAAGTCCCAGCGGCCCGTGCGGGCCTGAGCCTGTTCCTGGGGGGCCCCGCAGGTTTGTCCCACTGAGCAGGGCTCCAGCCGGACGACATGCTGGGACCTTTCACAGGGCCGGGTCTGGGGGCAGTTCGACATTCCCTGGACGCACCGGGCATTGTTGTTCCGTCCGGGCAGGGGGCGGGGCAGGGAGAGGGCCGCTGCGGCCCGCGCGCTCCCGACCTGCGCACCGCCCGCCGCGCGCTCGCTCACGGCGGGGCCGCAGGGGGTGGGGGCTCGGCGCGAGCAACTCCGCCGGCCGCCCCGGCGTGCGCCTTCGGGAAGCTTCGGTGCCCGCCCTCTGCGCCCCGGCGCCCTGCGGGTCTGTGCTGGGAGAGGCCTGAGAGCCGCGTCCCGGGCGGTGCCGGTGGGAGACCAGCCTGTCGCGTCTGGTGAGAGGAGCGGTGTCCCCAGCAGGTGAGTCTCGGCCCCGAGCTCCCGCGTCGCCAGGTGAGAGGCGTTCCCCGGAGGACGCTCCTGAGCCGGCCCTGCCGAGCGCTCCCCGCGCCCTGGGGTGCGCCCCGTAGACGCGGGCTCGGGGGCCGGGGCGCCCCGGGGACCCGCCTGCGCCGGCCCCCCGCCTCCGCCTCGCAGAGGAAGCGGGGGTTCCGGGATTTCAGGCGCTTTGGGTGGGGCGTGGCGTCTCAGCGAGCGCCCTGAATATGCAGGGGGGTCTTTTCTTCTCCAGAGCTTTCCCTTAGTGTAACCCATTTACTACTTCGAAGTCTTCAAGGAGGGCGTGCCATTTTGTATTCTTCTTGAATAAATTTGACGTGTAAAATTGTGTAAGATTATGGTGTACAGCTGTGATTTTGTTACATTTCTATGTTGCAACATGATTGTTGTAGCGACATTTATCCCAGTGTACAATTACGGTAGAATATTACTGTCTGTATTCATTATGCGGTCCCCTAGGTCTCTGTGGTTTATTTACTACTCGTTACAGTTTTGTACCCTGAAAAAGGTTAGTCTAATCCCTGCATCTCCTGCTAACCACCATTTACTCTCTGTTGTTTTATAGGTTTGACTTCTTTAGATTCCACGTATAAGTGATAGCATGCACATGCGGTACCTGTCTTTCTGTCTGGCTTACCTCCCTTAGCATAATGTCCTCAGGGTCCATCCATGTTGTTGTAAATGGCAGGATATCCTCCTTTAACATTACATTGTGTATATGTATTACTTTTTATTTTATTTTAAAAGATTTTATTTATTTATTTGAGAGAGAGAGAATGAGAGCTAGCACGAGAGGGAAGAGGGTCAGAGGGAGAAGCAGACTCCCTGCTGAGCAGGGAGCCCGATGTGGGACTCGATCCCGGGACTCCAGGATCATGACCTGAGCCAAAGGCAGTCGCTTAACCAACTGAGTCACCCAGGCGCCCTGTATTACTTTTTTTTTTTTTTTAAGAGTTTATTTTCAAGCAATCTCTACACCCAACATGGAACTCGAACCCACAACCCCGAGCTCAAGAGTCACATGCTGCAGGGACTGAGGCAGCGAGATACCCCTGTACTACATCTTTTTATCCATTCACCAGTTGATGGGCATTTGGGTTGTTTCCATATCTTGGCTCACGTGAATAATGCTTTGATAAGCATGGGTGTGCAGAGATCTCGTTGAAATCCTGTTTTCGTTTCATTTGGGTATATGTTCCCAGAGGTGGAATTGTTGGATCATTTCATAGTTCTATTTTAAATTTTTTGAGGAATCTCCATAGTGTTTTCCATAGTGGTTAGACCAATTTACCTTCCCACAACAGTGAACAAGGGTTTGGTTTTGGTTTTTGTTTTTCACCACATCCTCACCAGCATTGTTATCTCTTATCTTTTTGATGATAGTCATTTTGACAGGATGAGGTGACATATCATTGTGGTTTCGATTTGCATTTCCCTGATGATGAGTGATGTGGAGGTTTTTTCATGTGTCTGTTGACCATCTGGATGTCGTCTTTGGAAAAATGTCTATTTACTTCTGGCCACGTTTTAATCTGATTGTTTTTGTTGTTGTTACTAAGTTTGTGTGAGTTCTTTATATATCTTGGAGATTACTCCCTTATCTGGTATCCCCGTCTGTTTCTGTCTACTTTTGTAAGTTGGTTGTTTTCCATTGTGATTTGTTCAGTCTGCACATTTTTTCATGTTTTATGTCTTTGCTCTAGATTTTTGCTTTATGGTTACTGTGAGGTTTACATCGAACATCTCATAGATAACATAGTCCCCTTTCTGCTGTAGCAGTTTATCTTCATTTGCCTGCCAAAGTCCTATCCTTTTACTCCTCCCCTTGTATATTTTTGATACCACAAATTATTTCTTTTTATGCCGTGATTTCATCACCAAATTGGTGATTTTTAATGCTCTTTTCTCTTTAACCTTTATGCTATATTTAAGTGTTCAATATACTGTTCTAAAAATGTTACCTTTTTTCTAATGGTGACTATCACCTTAATCAGAATTTCGTGTATTTTTGTCTTTCTGTTTCAGTTTGAAGAACCCCCTTCAACATTTCTTGAGAGGCGAGGGTAGTGGTGGCGAGCTCCCTGAGCTTTTGTTTGTCCGAGAAAGTCTTTACTCTCCTTCGTATCTGAAGAGTTTTCTTGGCTGGCAAGTTTTGTCTTTCAATATTTGTCACTCCAGTCTCTCCTAGCCTGTAGAATTTCTGTGAGAAATCTGCTTATAGCCTCAAGGAGGTTCCTTTATAGGTTACTGCCTTTTCCCCCTGGCTGCCTTTACAATTCTTTATCGCTGTCTTTTTTTTTTTTTTTTTTTTTTTAAAGATTTTATTTATTTATTTGAGAGAGAGAGAATGAGCGATAGAGAGCACGAGAGGGAAGAGGGTCAGAGGGAGAAGCAGACTCCCTGCTGAGCAGGGAGCCCGATGTGGGACTCGATCCCGGGACTCCAGGATCATGACCTGAGCCGAAGGCAGTCGCTTAACCAACTGAGCCACCCAGGCGCCCCCTTTATCGCTGTCTTTTGACAGCATTGTTGTAATGTGTCTTAGAGAAGGTCTTTTGCCTTGAGATAATAAGGTGTTCTGTTAGCTTTGTGGGTTTATTTATTTATTTATTTTTGTCGGAGAGAGAGCCTGAGCACAAGCAGGGGAATTGGCAGGCAGAGGGAGAAGCAGGCTCCCCATCGAGCAAGGAGCCCAAAGTGGGACTCGATCCCAGGACCTTGGAATCATGACCTGAGCCGAAGGTGGACTCTTAACCAACTGAACCACCCAGGCGCCCCTGCTTCGTGGACTTTTATGTCTAGTTTCTACCCCAGGATTGGGGAATTCTTAGCTTTTGTTTCTTTAAATACAGTCTCCCCTTCCCTCTCCCTCTCTTCTCCTTCTGGTATACCCTTGAATCTTGTGCTTTTTCCTCTAATGGAGCCTGATGGTTCTTGTAGGGTTTTTTCTGTTTTGTTTTGTTTTTAAGATTTTATTTTTTTAAGTAATCTCTAAACCCAGTGTGGGACTCAAACCCACAATCCTGAGATCAAGAGCCACATGATCCACTGACTGAGCCGGCCAGGCACCCCTCCTGTAGGGTTTATTTGCTTTAGAAATCTTAGTTTTGGGGGCGCCTGGGTGGCTCAGATGGTTAAGCGTCTGCCTTCAGCTCAGGTCATGATCCCAGGGTCCTGGGATGGAGCCCCGCATCTGGCTCCCTGCTCAGCAGGGAGCCTGCTTCTCCCTCTCCCTGCCTCCCTCTGCTTGCTACTCCCCTTGCTTGTGTGCATGCGCTCTCTCTCTCTCTCTCTCTCTGTCAAATAAATAAATCTTAAAAAAAAATAAAAATCTCTCTCATTTTCCACCTGAATCATTTCTCGATCCCTATATTCAGGCCCACCTATTCTCTCTTCCAGGTGATCTGCTCTATTTCCAGTGCTTTCTAATGTATTATCCATCTCATTTATTGAGTTCTTCAGCTCCAGAATTTCCATTTGGCTCTTATTTAGAATTTTAATCTCTTTGGTAAGATACTCCTTCTGTTCATTAATTTTATTCCTGAGTTCGCTGTACTGCCTCTCTGAGTTTTCTTGTAGCTCACTGAATTTCCTCATAGCTCTTTTGAATACATTTTTTAAAGATTTTATTTTTAAGTTAGGCTTCACACTGCACATGTGGCTCGAAATCAGAACCCCAAGATCAAGAGTTGCATGCTCCACCCACTGAGCCAGCCATGTGCCCCAGCCTTCTTTTTTTTTTCTTTCCTTTTTTTTTTTTAAGAGAGGAGGAGAGCAGAGCTGGAGGGGTGGGGAGGAAAGGGGCAGAGAGAGAAGATGGGAGAATCTTGACCAGGCTCCACGCCCAGCTCAGAGCCAGATGCGGGGCTCGATCTCAGGACTCTGAGATCATAACCTGAGCTGAAATCAAGAGTTGGATGCTTAATCGACTGTGCCCCCCAGGCGCCCCACCTCACCTCTTTTGAATTCTTTAGCAGATAACAATATTGTGTCTTTGGGTTTGGTTGGTTACTGGAAAATTTCATTTGCTTTTTGTAATGCTGTGCTGCCGTGATTCTTCACAGTGTTTGATGAGAAGTATCCCTGCCCCTGCACTTGAAGGAGTGAGTGCATTCTTCCTTGGGTAAGGTTTTGTTCTCTTTGATTCTGATCTAATGGTTCAACGGGTAGGTCACTAGGAGCCTTTCTTCTGTGTTCCAGAAGGTGGCGCTAGGGCACAAGTCTTGGTTTCTCTTGCCTGAGCTGCCTCCCAGCTAAGCTTGGGAGCATGTGAAGAAGCAGGTGGAGGAAAAGGTGGGGTGGCTCAGAGTGGGGGGAGATGCGTGCTTAGTACTGCTGCTTCAGGTGTGTCCCTGCTGTAGGGAATCCTCGAAGGGGTGATCCCGGAGCTCCTTCTGGGCAGACAGTGGGAGAGTGTTCCTTCAGTTCTATCTGTTCAGTCTTGGAGGTCTCGCCTCTGAAATGGGGGTGTCGCTGGGGAGCGGGGGCCCCTCCAGCTGCAGCCGGGCTACAGATTTTCACTCCTCACTTCGTTGCCCCCCCTCTTCCTCGCAGCCACCTGCAGGTCCCAGCCACCCACCTTCCATGCACGCAAGGATGGATCTCTGGTGTCCTCCTGAGCAGTGCAGAGGTGCTTTTGTTCAGTCACAGATGTGGATTTGTTGTGCTCAGAAGGGAGAGAGAAAAGGACTGACTCCTGTCACCAGGATGCTAACATCCCTCTGGTTGTAAAATCTCGAGTGAGTTTAGGGGCGCCTGGGCGGCTCAGTCGTTAAGCGTCTGCCTTCAGTTCAGGTCATGATCCCAGGGTCCTGGGATCGAGCCCCGCATCGGGCTCCCTGCTCCGCGGGAAGCCTGCTTCTCTCCCTCTCCCTCTGCCCCTGCTTGTGTTCCCTCTCTCGCTGTGTCTCTCTCTGTCAAATAAATAAAATCTTCAAAAAAAAAAAAAAAATCTCGAGTGAGTTTATAGAAGTGTATGTCCTTCGTGCCACAGGAGACACGATGTCACTCGCCCATAAAGCCGGGACCTGTGCTGTTACCTCGGCATCTCTCTTTGTACACAGGTCCTGGCACACAGTAGGGCCTCAACAAACACACGATGGCTGACTGACAAGATGCCCAGTATAAGCACGACTCACAGAGGTTTTTTTCAAGGGTGTGAAAAGATGCAAAGTCACCATAACTAACCATCTTCCTCCCACCCAGTGAATGCCACTTCCAACCCAGTGAATGCCACTTCCAACACCACCCCGTGGTCACCCACACCCACTTGAGGGGAGAAGGGCTGGCTCGGAGATGGAGAAAACCCTTTCCTTGCAGAGAAATACATGTGACAGTCTTAGCCCTGGCAATGAAAGGTTTTTGAACTGATCTTTTCCATCGTCTCTTTTCATTCCCTGATACTCCAAGCAGGACAAGGCTCACTGCTTAGTGCCCTAAAACAAACCTCAAAACCCAAGTGGATATTCCAGAAAGGGGAAGACATGCATTCCTCCCCTGTCCCACATGCAGATGCATTTGTAGGTGTCTTCGTCAGCTCAGCCCGCTCTAACAGAAGACCGTAGACCAGGTGGCTACACCAGCAAATGCTTATTCCCACAGTTCTGGAGGCTAGAAGTCAGAGGCCAGGGTGCTAACATGTTTGGATTCTTAGCAAGTGCATCCTTCCCGGTTTACAGACCGCTGCCTTTTCCCCTGTATCTTCACATGGTGAAGAGAGATCATCTTTCTTGTGTCTCTTACAAGAAGAGACTAATCCCATTCATGAAGACCGCATCCTTATGCCATAATTCTCTCTCAAAGGCCCCACCTCCCAACACCATCACATTGGGGCTTAAGGTTTCTACATGCGAACTTTCGGGAACACGTATATTCCAGTCCGTAGAGGTAGGATACTCCAACTCAAGTGCTCTTACTCTTGGCTACTCTTTGGCTCTCCTGCATGCATGTGCTTTCTTTCTCTCTCAAATAAATAAAAATAAAATGTTTAGGAAAAAAGGGATTAAGACCTAAATGTAAAATCTAAAGCTATAATAGTTACATAAGAAAACATAGGAGAGGACGAGGAGGAGGAGGGACTCGGCGGGAGGGTGGGCTTGCTCTCAATTTTGCGCAAATTGAAAAGTGCACCAGACCAGGAGGTGAGAATTCTTCTCCTGGGCTTGGATAATGCTGGCAAGACCACTCTTCTGAAGCAGCTTGCATCTGAAGACATCAGCCACATTACACCTACACAGGGATTTAACATCAAAAGTGTACAATCACAAGGTTTTAAACTGAATGTATGGGACATTGGTGGACAGAGAAAAATCAGACCATACTGGAGAAATTATTTTGAAAATACTAATATTCTCATATATGTAATTGACAGTGCAGACAGAAAAAGATTTGAAGAGACGGTTCAGGAACTAGCTGAATTACTGGAGGAAGAAAAACTAAGTTGTGTGCCAGTGCTCACCTTTGCTAACAAGCAGGATTTGCTCACCGTAGCCCCTGCCTCTGAAATTGCAGAAGGACTAAACCTGCGTACCATCCGCGACCGCATCTGGCAGATCCAGTCCTGCTCAGCTCTCACGGGAGAGGGCGTTCAGGACGGCATGAACGGGGTCTGCAAAAATGTCAGTGCAAAGAAGAAATAAAATCTAGCCGAATGGAGAGACGCAGGAGCTGTGGGAGCTGAATTCTGTCTTGAAAAACACTAATTTTGCTGCTTTCTGACCAAATGTTTTTCCATCTGCATACAGCTACAGCTGTTTGAAGGCAGGGAACCACACAGTTTATAAAGAATCCCCGTTCCAGCAGCTTTAACTGATCTCTGAGGCTCAGTATCATTCTTCAAATAAAGGAATTATATTATTTCCTCTGCAAAAAAAAAAAAAAAAGAAAACATAGGAAAAGGATCTTTGTGACCTTGAGTTAAGCAAAGATTCCTTAGGACATAAACGCTCAAGCCATAAAGAAAAAAGAATTCATAGTTGGTGAGCCTAACCAAAATGTAAAACTTTTGCTCTTTAAGAGAGGTTTAAAAATGAAAAGACAAGTCACACAAACTGTAAGAAAAATACTTGTAAAGTAGATGTTTGTTAACAGACTTGTGGCCAGAATATGTATATATTCTTGCAATTCAGTATTAAGAAGACAAATAACCGAATTAAAAATGGGTAAATAGGGGCGCCTGGGTGGCTCAGTCGTTAAGCCTCTGCCTTCGGCTCAGGTCATGGGCCCAGGGTCCTGGGATCGAGCCCCACATCGGGCTCCCTGCTCAGCGGGAAGCCTGCTTCTCCCTCTCCCACTCCCCCTGCTTGTGTTCCCTCTCTCGCGTGTCTCTCTCTCTGTCAAATAAATAAATAAAATCTTTAAAAAAAAATAAAAATGGGCAAATATTTAATCAGATACTTTATCAGGAATTAAAATAAATGTCATATAGTGACAGATGGTGACCATGCTTACCACGGTGAGCATCAAGTAACGTGTAGAATCATTGAATCAGTATGTTGTGTGCCTGAAACTAATATAACGTGTTTTTTTTTAAAAAAAAACATTATTTATTTGACAGGGAGAGAGAGTGAGAGAAGAAACACAAGCAGGGGGAGTGGGAGAGGGAGAAGCAGGCTTCCGGCGGAGCAGGGAGCCCGACGTGGGGCTGGATCCCAGAACCCTGGGATCATGACCTGAGCGAAAGGCAGATGCTTAACAACTGAGCTACCGAGGCGCCTCTTTTGATTCTATTTTGATAAAAAATTTTTAAAAGGCCAATAGTACGTGGGAAGACACTCAATATCATTAGCTATGAGGAAAATGCAAAATAAAGACACACCAAATAACTAGAGTAGTGATTCCAGAAAGAGGTTCATCCATGTATGGAAATTTGGGGTATGACCTAAGTGGCATGTCATATTTGTGTAACAAAATATAGAGTGTTCAGGGTGGCATAATCATTTGTTGGGTGAATTTTTATGCCCCGTCTTGTTCTCTGCCACAGGTGAGGAGTACAGAAGAGGAAACCGTCATCTTGTCTGGGAGGGGCTCTCAGCAGAGGTGAGAATGAATGCACAAACCACCGGAAACTGTTCAGGGTCAGTGGGTCCAACTTCATCAACACTCATCATTCCCCTCAGCAGCTGTGGGACCTGTAGGTGGAGAAGAACCGAGAGAGGTCAGGCGAGGGAGGAAGGGGAAGATATGATTTCTCCTGGCCTCCAAACACAGGTCTCCACCAGTGGAACTCTCCCCTCCTCCTCCGTATCTGGGGATGTTGAGAGGGCATGGGAGTGTTAGTTAGTATGTCTACACAGTGACTGGGGCTTCAGCTGATTTAATGAGAGATGAGAGAGATGCTGAATGTTCTTGCAATGAACCAGACAGTCCTACATGGTAAGAAATATCCCACCAGCAATACCAATCATGCCACGTTGAGAAACATAGGAGGTCCCCCACAAGGCAAGTTTGGTGTTGACATGCCCCCTATCACTAGGACAGCCCATGAAAAAGAAGGGTGCTCAGTTGTTTACTTGGGTCCATGCAGAGACTCCTTGCGGCTCTGCCAGGCTTCAGCCAGGACAGCCCCCATAATAACCAGAAAGGGGGCCGCCAGACCCAGTCGGAGGTGGTTTATCTTGGTGTGATTTCCTTTTGCCATACTTGAGGAAAGTGAAAGAGACAGGCGTTCAGCACTGACCACAGAGCACCCTCCCTCGTACTCTGTCAGAAGTCAGAGCCCATTTGTGTGTCCTGGTCGGTGAGCTTACCATCCTGAGTCATCAGAGAGCAGAAGCAGAAGCACCAGGACACAGAATGCACTGTATCTCATTGCCTAGGGTGATGGTTTCTTAAAATTCCTAATCAATTAAAAATATATAAATGTACATTGGTGAGGGCCAAGGGAGAAGTCTACACATGCGATGCATCATGATAAAGAAGAAATAATGCAAGGAGGAGAGTGGATGGGGAAAGGGGGGAAATCTTAAAACCCCCAAAGGCAGAGATTGCTACTAGTCACAGGTTAGGTTTGTGGGGGAGAAAGTCTCCGTCCTGTATCCCACTCTGTGTGCGAGGGTCTCTTCCAACGTGATTCTTAGCTTGTGCTGGCTCCCAGGGGCTCGGTTCTCCCACCATGACACTGAGAATGACAGCTCTGTAGAGAGAATACATTTGCACACGGGCTCTCTGATGACAGAGTCCCTGGTCCCTGAGCAAGACGGAGTCCCTGATCCAAGGATTTCCCAGATCGAGATGACCGAGATCTTGGCTTCCAGTTTCTGGTTGCCCATGGAAGTCACTACTCCACAGTAACAGTGAGGAAAAGCAGAACAAACTGAAAAGTTTATAACTCTTGTGAGATCTGAAATGGCAGTGAGGACACAGAGAACCCTCTGCCCTGCAACTGGAGAGGCCAACCCCTGAGTCCCGAGAATCAGAGTTTGCTGAGCAAGAACCCACAAGCCGAAACTTCCATGGGGACCAGTGCCGGGTGGGGATGCTCGGCTTGGACAAGTCTGGGAGTTAGGAACTCCGGGGAGCTGGTCATGGGGGCCCGATCATGGGGTCTGGGAGTTTCACCTCCTGGAGCTCTACCAGGTGCTCCTAGTGAAGAGCCAAGAAAAACCCCCTCCTGCTTCTGGCAGGGAGGGGGGAAAACCCACTTTGAAATACAGCAGAGCACTGTGTTCTTCTTTTTTTTTTTTTTAATTTTTATTGTTATGTTAATCACCATACATTACATCATTAGTTTTTGATGTAGTGTTCCATGATTCGTTGTTTGTGTA